AGGCATTGTTATGAGCTCTAGGTTTTCAGCTGGACTCATGCAGGACATTATCACCGGATCCAGGCCCTTAGCTGGTTTGGTCAGATCCAGGCCCTCAGCAAGGTCCTTAGGTCGTTAGTGTGTGGACAGATTTCCCACACTTTCTTGTATATGATTCTTTGGGTGACTTTTATAAACAATCTTATAAAATATGTATCCTGTGTTATATTGTTTCTCCTTGCAACAAACCCCAAACCATTCTTTGGGGCTGGGGATTTAGCTCAGCGGCAAAGCGCCTGCCTGGCAAGTGCAAGGTTGTGAGTTCGGTTCCTGGTACCAGAGAAAAACAAAACAAAACAAAAAAACAAAACAACAACAACAACAAAAAACCCCAAACCACAACAACTGTGCTATAGAAACCAAAGAAGGAAGTAGATGCATAGTAAAGTAGTAGGGAGCTTCAAATGCCATGAAAGTCAAGTAAGATAAAACTTCTAGAACGCCCACTGGGACTGGGCTGTCAAGGAAGTCACCGATAATTCAGGAGAAAGAAGAATCAACTAAAGGCAGAGGAGGGTACGGAATGTCCACAAGTCCGACTGTAAACACAAGAGATGAGACGGTACCTCATGGAAAGGAAGGGTTTAAAATAAAGAAATAGGATTGTTTTAGTGACTTCAAATATTTATTTATTTTTTTGTGAAAAATTTAAATATGACAACTGGATTCTGCTTGGGGTCTCTCAAGGCCAAAATTAAGATGTTAGTCTTATATGAAGGCTCTTGGGGTAGAATACAATTGAAGGTCTTTCAGGTTGTTAACAGAATTCAGTTCTTCATATTTGCTTAAGTTTCTTGGCTTATGGTCCTGACTTCCTGCTGAGCCTATCCTCTGGAGGTCCACGAAGGCCTCATTGTGTGGCCCTCTTCATCTTTGAAGCTGGAGTACATTGAATCCTTTTGGTGTCCAAAACATCTCTGACTTGCTCTTTCACCTTTGACATTTTTAAAGTTTAATTGTGATTTAACATAACATTAAGCTTACCATCTTAACCATTTTTAAGTGTACAGTTTGGAAGTGTTAGGTATGTTCACACTGTTATACAGCCTACCTCGAGAACATTTTTATCTTGTTATACTGGAACTCTATACTCATTGAAAAACAAATTCCTATTTCTCTCTCCTTGTCCTACCACAATTAAAATTTCTGTTTTTATTTTGGCTAAACTCTATTTATCATGTAGTAAGTAGGACCATGAAGTATTTGTCCTTTTGTGACTGGCTTATTTCACTTAGCACAGTATCTTTCAGGTTCATCCACATTGTGGTATGTGTCACGGTTTCCTAGGAAGGAAATCTTTACGATGGAGAAAGATGAACAAGCATTTTACAGGGCACAGTGTTGAGACTGGGGAGGTTCTATCTGAAACTCTGTCATGTGAGAGTCATTTATTGGATCCCCAAGAGCTGTTCTTTCAGTTTCCCAAGCAAAAGGTAGATATATCCAGGGATGTGTAAACTTTTAAACAACAAGGGGTTGATTTGTTAGCTACTGATTAAAACCAAGGCCCTAAAGACAATGGGAAGCCTGTAAGGTATCTGTAAAAGGGAAATGAACAGTGTTAGGCGGGGTGAAGAAGAGCTGAAAGTTGCTGAAAGGGTCCAAAATTCAAACTGGTGGTCAGAAGGCTTTCTTCTTCAGAAAGTGTCGCCAGTATCAACCAGGTTGGTTGGGCAAAATTCTAGAAGTCATTTACATTTACCTCATGCAGTTTACCATCAATTTCTGGCAGGTCTGTCCTGAAAGATATTTACCTGCTTCCGTCTTCACTGGACTACTCAGCCCAAGCACTAGCCTCCTTGTCTGGATTACTACAGCCAACCCTAACTGGTCTTTCTGCTCCTTTTTTTGGTGGCCTATATCAACTACCCAAATACTACCCTGAAAATCCTTCACTGTCTTTTCACTGTGCTTGGTATAAAGTCCAGAGTGTGGACCACAGTTTGCATTGTCTTTGTCTTCCCTTCCCTTAGCTATATCTGCATCCTTCCTATTGCCCTATCCTCTCCCCAGGGGTGTTCTCATGCGGAGTCTATTCTTCACACCCGGAACGTGCTTCCTCTCCGATTGTGCCATTGCCGTCCCCTGATGGCAATTCCGATCTTATCTCAACTGTTTCCTCTGAAAGCCTGTTCCTGATGCACCCGGTATAAAGAAGGCTTTCACTGCAGACACTCCGTGCCATGCCATCCTCTTTTATATTCCTTCATAGCTCTTTTTACTACCTGGAATGGTCATTTTTGGTTTTGTTTTTATCACCTTTCTCCTCCCATTAGAGTACAAATTCTAAGGCAAAAGATTTATCTGTCTTCCTGCTGAGTTCTCAAAATGTAGAACAGTGTCTGGTACACAGTATATGCTCAATAATTATGTTTTGTATCGATTAAATAGGTGAATCGTATCCAAACATGTTGGTTGAAAAATTGCTGGTGGATAAAGTCGATGGCGGGCAGGGAGCCCTGTTCTTACTTGAGTTCTGCTCTTGTGAAAAGATGAAGAACACGTTGTTCAGTCCCTTGACAATACCCATCAGGATTCTTCTGGTTACAGGGCAAGTGTGTTTGAAGCTGAAAACAATGTGGTGTTGATCTTTCCTGGCTTTGCAAAGAACCAGGAAGATGAACTCAGTGATTTCAAAACGAGCTGCTGGAAGCAAGTGGTTTTGAAACAATGCACCTTGAAGTTTAAACCAGGTAACAATGAAGTAGGAAGAAAAACACGACAGTATTTTAGACCTTGTACATTTTTCAGCAGTTCAGAGGAGGTTTGCCAGCGAAAATGCGTGCACTAAGCCGTGGTCTTGGCTCCCTCAAGGACAGAATGACTAGGGTACTTGTGGATGGCTATTTTCCCGATGCTTGATGGTTAACTTGTAACTGCTGTAGCTGATTTCTTTTTAAAGTGGAAAATGTTCTAAAATGTTTCCCTCAATTAAAGGAAGCAATGAAAAAACAGGGGCTTCAGAGCGGGATAGAGTTGGGCTGTGTCCAAGTTCTGCAACTAAAAAATTCTGTGACATTGGCATTTACCCATGTGGACCTGCAGGTTCTTTATCTGTAAGATGGGACTAATGATAGCCTACAGACGCCTTGCATGAATGAAGTGAAACAGCGACTATAAAAATGTCCTTCTTTAAACTAGGAACTTCACAAAGGATCAATATTATAAATGCTACTGGTAAAACATACTCTTTACAGACATTGAACAACGTAGATCATTTTCTAAAGCCTTGCTGTCAACATTGTGAACAGATCACTTTTGTGATGTCTTGTTAAAATATAGATGCACGTGTGTGAAATACGAGCTCAAATGCATGTCAGTTCCACTAGCAACATTAAAACTGTGCTGTCCTGAAAATGTCTCTGATATGAAATTGTTTTGAATCATTCATGAAAGTCAAGTGAAAAATTGGCCAAATTCATGACTCCCAGGGCAGGCTAACATGACCAATTCTTCACAAAGAAATCAGTCAATTAAAAGCTGCTCTTGCACTCATAGATTTACGATCCTCCAAAAAGCCTCTTTTCTATTTTCTGCTTTGATCTGCTCCCTGACAGGCTATAAAGCAATGTTTTCTAAGTTTCTTCCATGAAAAAACTGAACCCAAGAGTTGTTTCAGTGAAAAACTACTTTGTGATGAAATACATTTGGGGATTAGATTCACAGAACAGTGACATCTTCCAGGATCTGAAATGTCCTACAGTAAGAAAAAAATTCAATTTTATTTAATTTTTTTAAGCAATTAGACTACAATTTTTTAATATAATGCCTATGCGAAGAAAACTTGCTTGCTAAACACATTTGATGTAACACTGCTATTTGAAAATGCTACATGTCCAGTGAAAAGTAACACCAAGAACTTCAAGGTCGCTATCAGAAGGAGAAACTCCTCAGTAGGGAATGAAGTGACGTCATAAAGACCCAGACGTTTTATCACCTGCCAAGGTACCTGTTCCCTGGGAACATTTTGAAAACATAGGGGTCAACACTAATAAAAAGGAGAAAAATCCAAAAATCCAAACAAGACAAAACAAAAAACAAAACAACAATAAAATATTATGTTATCATCAACTATATTTTAATTTTTCTTTTAAAATGCAGTTTGAAATTTATACTGATTTCTTTTTATAAGCAGGTAGGCTATATTATCTCTAAATTTTAGGAAAGCAAAAGGAGAATTATAAAATATTTTCTCTAGAAAGGTTTTATTGTTTCAGTAGAGCTGAAAATCACTTATCTAGAATTCTCTTAGTTGTTTCTGCTGTTACACACGGGTGTGCGAACATCATGAGGTCTTTGTTTTTCTTTCAGTTTTGTCTCAGGCAAAAGAAAACAAGCCAAAATTTTGCTAAGACCTTAGGAAAAAAGCAGGGAAACAAATACGGAAAATTGGAAAGACCCAACACAGGAAAAATCTAAATGATATCTAAGTTACTATGAGACTTGTGGAATCTGTCACATTAGGTGTGTGCTACACAGATAAAGAAATGACTAACCTGAATCTTTAACTTTCTAGTGCCTGGTTTATTTCCATGAATTAATTATCAGTTTTAAAATATATTATCCATGGGGCTGGGGATTTAGCTCAGCGGCAAAAGTGCCTGCCTGGCAAGCGCAAGGTCGTGAGTTCGGTTCCCGGTACCAGAGAAAAACCAAAAA